CACAAAATAAACATCAGTTATTTGTCACAAATTAAAGTAAATAAATTAGAATGTAAAGTAAATAAATTAAAACCTAAAGTAAATAAAAAAGGTAAAGAGGTAAAATACCAAATAAAAAAAAAGTAAATGAAGTTACTGTTAAAGTAAATAAATAGAAGTTTAAAGTAAATAGAACACACTTAAGAGTAAAATACCTGAAAGACTACTTGTTTGGACAGTTTCTACTATCATGGGAAACACCAGATTGCCCACAAGCTCTACAAGTTCTGCCTTTTTTAGATTTTTCTTCAGTAGCTATTTCTTTTGTACTTTTCAACCTCTTTGAACTTCTAGCAGAACCCTTATTAAGACACTGATTTGGAGGCAAGACATTTACATCAACTTCATTTGACCCAACCAAAACCTGAATATCAGCATCTTTCACCTCTTTTGAACTAGGTGCATTTTCAGGATTATTCTTTGATATCATCTGCTCCTCAAATGAAGATAATTTCCTAATAAGCTCAGAAAAATCATCCTCAGATTGATCAGTTAAACTCACACAATTGGAAATCTTGGACCACACATCACTAACCAATTGCTTCTTCTTATCATACTTAGACGAATCATCCAGAGCAACATCTATGACAGAAGCTTTCTTCAGAACATCTTTTCTCCAACGATTAAAGATATAAGCATCAGGAATTTCTCGTATACACTTGCCTTTCATAACAAACAAAATGTGTTTAGATAAAACACCTTGACTCTCAAACATTCTACAAGTACAACTTGACTCATATGTTGCCAAGTCAAAATCTACATCAAAATTTTTCCTTTTCTCATGATCAACAATAACTGAAAACTCCACACCATCTCCATACAGAGAACTACAACTTTCAACACCACATGAAAAACAGGGTCCCTGGAATTCTTCTTGAAAATCATAAAATATGGAACGAGTATAAACAACAACATCATGCTTTTCTAAGTTTAAATTAGTAACCAATTGAGGCTTAAGTTTATTAAGCCTGTACAACTCATCCTGTTCATGCCTTTGAGCATCAAGAGCAGTTTCATAACGGACAAAGAATTCAACACAGGTCACATGAGGATTTGTAAAATTACAAAAGAAACTGTTTTCACCTTTAGACCTAGATGTAGAACGCAATAACCCACCCATAAATAGGTCCCTAAAATATGCAGGAATCCAAAGATGTTTAATCTTGAGCATGTATGCAAACCACTCATGATCAACAAGGTTAAACTCCTTCATTACACTATTCTAGCCATCAACGATTACATGAGGATCAATCTCTCTATCCCAAACTACTGTACTTAGCTTTTTCAGGAAATCAGTTTCATTACAAAAAGTAGTTCCAACCTTTTCAGGTACCTTCCTCATTATGTGCCACATACATAGCCTATGTTTAGTTTTCTAAAAACCTTTTCTACGGCAATACCCATTGCAGGATCTTGATCAGTGATAATACAAGAGGGTTCTCTTCCCATACACTTCCAAAAAGTTTCAAATAGCCACACAAAAGAATCTATGTCTTCTTTAGATAATAGAGCAGCACAAAATGTAACACATCTCTTGTGATTATCAACACCAGTAAAAGGACAGAAAACCAATGAATATTTATTTGTATCATAGGTAGAATCAAAAGATAAAGAGTCCCAAAATAATTGATAATCTCTTCTACCAATAGCATCTGCCCAAAAAGCACGAGTCAAATGCCTACTTCCATCAACACAGCAATCAAAATAATAACCCCCTTTACTGGTTTTCACTTTTTGTTCAAGGTTCTGAACAAACATTGCACCATCAACATTAGAGATATAAACTTTCAAGTCCCTAGAAAAATTTTTGAAATCATTTTTACTGCCCCTGACATTTTGAAACCCACCACAAAGTTCTTTCATGATCCTATAAGACATAACAGCCCCTATATTTAACTTTGAGTTGTCAAAAATAAACTTCTTATGAGCAAAATTTAAACCAACTTCATGTTTAGTAACTTGCCTAATAATAGGTGTAGAAAAAGGGTGAGAATGATATTCATAAAAACAATACACCATATACTTCCCACCAGTACATAACCTAAATTTTATCTTAGCAGGACAACCAACTTTCTTCACATCTTTCTCTTTAAACAAGCACCTTCAACTTGTTTACCAGGTTTCTTGTTATTTGTCACATACCCTTCTTTGCTACATAATAAATATTAATTTTAGTAACTCCTTTACCAGTAGGATCATTCTTATTCTTTTGTGATTTAGTAGTACTAGAACGGACTTTAAATCCACACTCATTAGCATATTTGTAATAAAAGGCAATACCATCTTGAAGGGTATCAAATATCATTCCAAAAAAAGGTTTGTTTTCAGAAGAACATGGCATATACTCTTTATCACCTCCAAAATTATAATATATTTTAGGAAGAAAAGGCTAAGTGGATGTTTTAAAAATTCTTACATTGTTATCTTCAGTAGTGACAGAAGAAGAACAATGTTCTATGATTTCAGACATGTTCCTGAAAAGTAAATAAATAGAAGGAAAAAGTAAATAAACAATAAATAAAAGTAAATAAACTATAATAAAAGTAAACAATATTTTTAAAAAATATGCTCTACGCTTTCAGACATGTTCCTGAAAAGTTAATGAATAGAAGGAAAAAGTAAATAAACAGTAAATAAAAGTAAATAAACTATAACTAAAAGTAAACAATATTTTTAAAAAATATACTAATAAAAACTATTAGAGATATAATAAAAAGTAGATGACTCAAAGCATAAAGTAAATAAAAAAAATTAAAAAACTTGAAGAAAATAGAAAACTAATAATGAAAAGTTAATGACTGAATGCAAAAAGTAAATTTAAAACAACAACAAATTATACTACTAGATTAATAACAACAAACAATATATCAACTATATGCAGACACAACTACATTGAATCCGTAAGTGTAAAACCATAAAATAGGAATTAAAAACCAATATCGTAAAAATAAAACCCAAAATCAAACAATAAATTGTATAGAATAATTCAAAGAACAATTAATAAGCAAAAATTAAGAAAAATTACAATAAAAACCCTAAATCGAAAAACTCAGCTCAAAATAAACAATGAAATAAAAATAAACAAACAAAATACAAATATAATTAGAAAATTACCTCAATGAATGAAAAAACCTGAAGAATACGATGTAATAAAAGATCAAAAACGAAAAATCTGAGCAAAAAAATTCGCAAAGTCGAAGAACTCAAATCCACGACGGAGAATCGATGTTAGAGAGAGAAAATGTGGACGCGTAGAGAGAGAGAGAATGAATGGGAAAGAGAGAGAAAGAAAGGAGGTCATTCATTTTGGCAAAATTACCAAAATGCCATTACTGAAATGAAAAATGCGGGTAGGATATCAACCATTAGATCAAGGAAGATCAACGCACCAGATTAGTTCCTAGTTCCTATTCTATGCTTAGGTTCTCACATGATCCCATATATATATATATATATATATATATATATATATATATATATATATATATATGTATCAAAAGAATTTTTAAAAAAAAAATTACCATGTCAAAATGAATATATAATCTATTATAAATGATTATGTCACATTGCAATTGCAGACATGTCTTTTTCAACAGGGAAACTTGTTATTATATCTTTTAAGAGTTGAGGATCATTTGTATTATTCACTCTTGATTGAATAGGAATATCATCATCATCACTGTTTATACACATTTAATAAAAAAATCAATTAAGAATTATATGACTCCATAATGTAAGTGACCATATGTAATTTATTTTTAAACATTTCTAAAATAGAATAATATTTAAAAATAGAATCATCAAAGGTTTATGATGAATGAACAATATGTTATTTATTTTTGAACATTTTTTGACATGTGAATGAACATTCATTAATATATGTGTGAATATACACATATCCAAATGAACATCTATTTATCAAATTCAAATAAGCATCTATAAATATTAGAGTTAAAATGTATGTAATATAATATTCAAATGACGCTCATGAGCATATAATTTAGTATGAAGTTAAACATGTATTATTATAGTCTATGTGAATATTTTCAATATGAGAATGAATATGTACGTTTTTACATTTAAATAAACATATGTTTAAATACCAGTAAACATTCATTAATATGTAAAGATCATAAACAAATTAGGGTAGTCTTATCTCAAGAATGAACCCTAGTAGATGTAAGGTAAGAATGTAAATGATCATATACTAATATCATATGACATCTATCAAAATGAAAATGAACATTTATCGAAAGTGAATAATTGTTCAACAACCGTCTTCTCCGGTGGAACCTTCGAAGTTTCTTCTGTGTTTCGTTTCTACAAATACCAACAAATATAGTAGATTTTAGTCTATTTTGCACAAAAATAAGTGTAATTATAGTAGATTTTGTTTTGGAATATCAAAACACAAAAAAAAAAAAAAAAAAAAAAACTAGGGTTTACCTTCGAAATTATACTAAAATGAACAAATTCTTACTCTTCTTTTTTGGAATTTAGTTGCGATTCACGAACTTCATCTCGAATGTCAGACATATTTAGAAGTTTTAAAGCAATTTGAAGTAATTTTGAAGCAATTTGTAGTGATTTTCATGCGATTTTTTGGTTTTTGATGCGAGAGAATTTCTGAAAAATAGGTTTGAAATGATGCTTTTGATTTATTTTTTTTGTTGTTGTTGTTGTTGTATATATACGCGAGGAATCAACGGTTACTTGCATTTACCGTGGTTAGTGGCGGGTAACTGCTTGGTTAGTGGGGTGTGGGTAAGGGTTTTATTGTGATTTCGAGTGGGGGGAGTAGGTAAAGGGGGGTGTAGCCATTAAGAATTAGGTTTCGTAGAGCTTTATTTTTGGGCTCAAATGATAGGTTCAGATTTCGTGTACTCCACAAGAAACTTGTACTAATAGGGTACCCTACAGATTTTGAATCCAAAATTTAATTACCCAAAATTGAAACCTGATCTGTAGGTTTCGGCTTAAATAGGTTCCGATTTCAAGTCATGATATCTTGAATTTTTGCTCATCCCCATTAATGACCGCATAATGATATTTTAAGAATTCAGCCACAACAATCCACATGACCACGTATGACATAATGCAATGTTTCAAGTTCACATACTAAAATAAAATTTTAAAAAAAAAAAAACATTAATTTGAACCTCCTTACCAAAAAACAGACTTCACTAGATAAGCTTAGAGAGAGAATGGGAACCCAACAGTTACAACTGCCACTACCATCATCATCATCTTCAACTTGTTCAACTAGACTTTCTTCCATTTTATCTCACCACTACAATTGCCGTAGCACCACCACTTCACTCCTTTTCAACCGCAGCAGCACCACCAACACCATTCTCTCTCTTTCCCTCAACCATGTCAACCACCGTCGTTCAATTCAGCACGGCCGTGTTGGTATGGATGACTCGACTATTCCGGCTACCTCTACCGCTTTTGAGGATGACGAAGACGATGTAGAACCCGAACCTACTCCTGAGGATCTCGAATACATTAGCCGAATTAAAAGAGTAATTCTATCTTCTCTATTTGTAGTATGTCTTATTGTTTGATTTTATTGTATTATGAATTTTGATTTTATTGGATCATTCTTGTTTAGGTTTTGGAGCTTCTCAGGAAAAACAGGGACATGCTTTTTGGAGAGGTACCTAATTTTTAATTTTGCTTAATTTCTTACAATTGGTGATGCACCCACTCTTGGAATTTCTTACAATTCTTTGTAAAAAGAAGATTAACCCGCATTTTAAGTGCATAAAATCCTGTATTTTTAGTGAAATTAAGTTGATTGATATCACAGGATCTAGGAAGTATATGGAATTTGGGGAAAAAAAGTTAGTGTTCCAACAAGGCTTTATTTGATTTGGGGTGTTCCATCAAGGTTTATTTGTATTGGTATAACCGTGTTTGTTGGATATGGTTTTACATGGATTTAAAACTCAATAGTTTTTCTTTGTTTGATTCCTTACTAGAAAAGTTACTCTATAAAGAAAGTAAAATTCAAAGTGGAAGGGAGAGGACGGACGGGAGGAGAGGAAAAAGGAAGGTTAAGAGTAGGGAGTTAAATGTGGCTTTATTGGGTTAGTGAGGCTTAAAATTTGTTAAACCCAATTTATTTGTTCTTTAGGCCGCTAATTGATCTTGCATGTTGACTTATTGGATGCAAATTGTGGAAGCTATTAGAAAACGATAATCATGCACAAATTGTTCGTAAACAATTCCCCTGGTCTTCCACTTCTGTGTTATGGGGGTGTGTGTAACTTGTGCTGTTGTTGCAGCCTGGTGGATTTGTCAAGGAGAGAGAAATAAAATGGGGTTTTAAGTCTCTGAATTTATTTTCAATATGGCTAATTGGCTGAATAAGGCAGATGAAGGGGTGGTCATAGACTGAAATGCGGTGTTTGCCATTGTCTTCATGGAGTTTGTATAGGGAGATGAATTTGAAGTGACACACCTTAAACCTTTTGTTTTAGAAGCCAAATATCAGATCTTATACTTGGAACATATATTTTTGAAGCAAATTAATTAAGTGTGATTAATAAGAATAATCAACAAGATTGAAGGAAAGAAAATTTGACAACGATATTGTGGGACTTCCTTTGCTTGACATGAAGAATAGGGGTAATGACTAATTCGCTAGCGATAAATTGATGTGACAAATTACAATACTATAAAATTTCAGATCATATCACTAAAAAATACAGAACATTTCTCTTGAGTTAAATGAATACAGTGGTCACAGGGATGGTTAAGACTTCAAACAAAGTTGATTAATGCATATCTTTGGATATATATATTATTCATAAGACACTCATACTGTTACTGAGTAACGTAGCACTACTTTAAGACCAAATTTGTCTAAAAATTATAAAAATAAAGTACTATATACGAAGTATGAATTTTTTTATTCATTCGAGATCAAGATATATATATTTCACCCACGTAGCATCATACTGTCTAATCATCAATATGCTTGTATTGTTTATCAATCTAGTCCTATTGAAAATAAAGCCCGATAATTAGGGAATGTTTATATTCAATTTGGATTTTGAGGAATGAGATTGCTTTTCAACAAAGATACAGGACTGCTGCTGTTTTGGTGAGGGAAGTCCATTTTAGAGTTGCTTGTCGTTGTAATGAGAGTCAAAGGAATTTTCTTATTGTAGGATGATGTATTAGGCTTGTTTGTTTGTTTGGTTGCTAGCAGTTTCTAGTTTTTGGTGTTTCAGTTTTGCTCTTGGTGATTAATAATTTTTTTTTAATTGCCAAAAAAAATTGGGGATTGAGGAGGGGGAATTTTGGAATAATAGGGTTAGGAAGGTAATAAATGGGTGAAAATGGTTATCTTGGAAATGGAGTTTGTTAGCTCACCCATCATACCAAACAGTATGTAATGGAAACAACTGATTTCATTTTTGCTTTTGAAAGTACCATCGCATTCTAACTGTATTTGTTAGGCCTTGCTAAAATTCACTAATTTTTTCTCTCTATGCCGTGAATACCATAAGCAATCTTATTCACTTTTTTTTTTTTTTTTAATCAACTGGCACAAATCGCCTCTGAAGAAAACTAACACACCAAAGGAGAAAGCAAACAAGCCTCTAGTTACAGCAAAGCTCTGCCAAATAATCTCTCTGAACATCAGAGCACCTACTAGCTACCTTAAAAGTTAATATCATGGAATAACACAGAACAGTCCTGCATTTCTGGTTAAAAATGAGATCATTTTTTTGAAGCCAAATTGCATAAATGCACCCTGCAAAGAACATCAGAAAAAAGCTTATGCTTGATAGTACTTTTTTTGCCACATTTGATGGCCCAATCAAGCTCCCTGGTAAAAGAATCAAGTCTTTTATGAAAATTCAGAGTCTGCAACACCAGACTCCAAACCTGGAAGGAATAATTACACTGCAAAAATAAATGCTCAACTGATTCATTTCCACTGTTATGTAACTTGCAAATTATAGAGGGGACCTTAAATTCCAGGAAAACAGTATAATCTTCCCCATATAGTCAACCAGGTTATAAACAAGCTCCTCGGAGTTGCTTGATTATTACAAAGAACTTTTCTCCAAGGCACCTTAGGCTGAGTACCATTAAGATGTTGATACATTTTCTGAATAGAAAATGATCCATTTTTAAGATATCCATCCCAACCACCAGTATCAAGAATAAGATTTGCACCATCAAAATGAGATCATTTCTTTGAAGCCAAATTGCATAAATGCACATCAAAATATTTCCCTCAAAGCCCATGACATATATTTATTGAACAGTAAAGAGCAAGATAATCCCTGCGTTTCATATAATATGCATCCACCGTGCACTAAAGCTTGTCTTTCTTACAATAAATAACCCAAACTAACTTACTCACAACAACTTTAATCCACAATTCCATATATTTGATGTTCCACTTATTAAGATTAATTCATACTACACACTTAGCCAGCCACGTCACCACTTGCTGCCTCCTCCCCCCCACCCTCGCCGGCCATTCATGCCCCGAAACCCTTTCTCCATCATCGTAAAAATCTAAAAAAAACCTTCTCCCTCAGTGTAAAATGGTGTAAAACGGTCGGCAGGCCATCCCCAACCTCACACCCAAGGTGCTAGGGTTTCAAGGGTGGGGAGGGTCGACCGGCGGAATAGGGAGTAAAACTAGTTTGTAGGGTTTTTCGGGGAGCGGAGGGAGGTTTTTCAGGGGAGGGGAGAACTGCGCAGGGCAGCAAGGGGCGGGGGAATTTGGCGAAGGACGACAAATGGTGGGGGAGGCGTGTCGAGTGGTTTGGTGGATGGGTGGTGGCCGGAAAAGGTGGAAAGTGAAGGAATTAGGTGATTGTGTGGTAATTGGACGGGTGGGATTTATTCCCTTTGTTTTTAAAACAAACAACACAGAAAAAGTAAGGTATTTTCATTCCATTCTTTTCCTTTTCCTTTGTTTATTCCATTCGTTTATCCCGTGCGAACAAACGACCCCTTAATATTCATATCTGATCTATCGGTAATCACAATTGCAACTGAAGAAGCGTAGCTGTTTTCATGATGATTTGATTCAATCCCCTTCTTAATTATGTGTCTTCTAGCAGATCTACACCCTATGGTTTTCTCTCTGTTGTTGGGATATACTCCCTTCGTTTTTAAATACTAGCTCCATTTCTAATTTTTGCACCATTCATTTGTACTACTTTGACTAATGTTTGTGATTTATACGTAAGAAAAAATATAGTTTTGTGGGTACTTGTTGGAATCGTTTAATGAATACATTATTAATTTTTAATTGTTAGATTTTATACTTATTGATAACTAAAGATATTATTGATAAAAAATTAACATCAGTATACGTGCTCAAGAGAATTGAAGCAGTATTTAAAAACGAAGGGAGTAATTGATAGTATATTGTATGTTCTACTAGGGACCATAACCATAGATGTCTATTTATATGGACTCTCTTCCTAATCCCCCTATCATGTATTTGAAAGGGCCCAACAGTCACATACAAGACTAAACCTATACCTTATAAAAAAAGATGTAAATAAGCTTACTAATTACTTATTAGATCACTTTATGTGAGCAAACTATATGACAACGAATAAGTATATTCATGTCCGAATAGTTCACATATATAATTGTATTTTGGTTATGCGATATTTGCTATAATGTAACTAGACCCATCAATGGCCACAATATCAATAAATCAACTACATGAATCAAGCATAAGTGTATAGCATGGAAATAGCTTATGAATGTGATCCAAATGTCTGTTTCTAATTGGACACTTTAGATTTTAGTAGGATTAACAATATGTTTTAATATATGAGTAAACCAAATTGAATACTTTATTAGAAAATACTTTAATAAAAACCACAGTATCCATGATATGTTTATGTCATACGAGCAGTGTGCTCATGAAATACTTCACGTGATAACACCCTTAGCAAGCAAATTTACAATCATGGGGTTTGTGCTAGTGTACTCTGGGTACAATTGTTTACCCTCCCCTCCCTCTTCACAATTCTAAACGTGACATCAATTGATCAATATGCTTTGATTTTGTCAAGCTATTATTATTGTGGCATACAATAATATTATTGTTGGCATAAAATAATGTTGTCACTCATAAATTTGAATTATCTTCAATACCATTCAAAGAAATCTTGTATTTCAAACATTTTCAAAGTTTTTTTGAGATACCCTTTTGTGACAACCTAAGAGTGATTGGATGGCGATCTGGATGAATTTGTATCTCTAACACAAAAGAGGCATCTCCAAGATCTTTCATCCCAAAACGATTTGATATAAATCTCTTGGTTTCGTTCATGAAGCATATATCGTTGCCGACAAGCAATATGTCGCATATAAAACCAAGAAAATATGCTTACTTCCATTAACCTTATGGCACATACAATCATCTGTGTTGTCAAAGAGACATAACGACTTACTGAAACTTAAGATACCATTCACGAGAAACTTATTCGAGTCCGTAGGGATAAGACAAGCCTTACGCCTTATCACATTGCCATTTGAATTCCTTTTGTTCTTAGAAATCCATTTACAAACTAATGGGTTTCACACCTTTAAGCAATGAAACAAGGTCCTACATAATCGTTCATCTTGGACTTAATCTCCTCATTAATGGCATCAATCCAC